GCTGGACCTCTCCCCTGCTGCCACTTGCCTCCTTCCACCTGGAGCAAGCCATGCCTGCATCCCACCCCCCGCCCTACATGAATCCCCACTTCCAGTTCTGCCGCACCCGCATCCCATGCCCCACCCCTGTCCCTCTCCCTGAGTAATGCACCCCCCTACCCTAGTTGGGCAACTTGTGCCAACCCCAATCCCCCCCTTCCCTCCCCCACCCCCAAAAGACTTACCAGCTGGAGGCAGCTGTCAGCTCCCTGTTTAGTCTGTGGCCAAATCTCCCAATCGACCAAATCTTTTCCGAATCGATTTGGATGTTTCAAATTGATTCAGAGCTTTTACTTGGTCTCCTGATTCAATTTGGATTCGCAGATTTGGTCCCCGAATAGGGCCAAATCTCCTCTGAATCAAATCAGCTATCAAAGCTTCGTGCAGCCCTATTTAACTTGTGTATCTAAGTGCTTGTGTAGCACTCCCTGCCATATCATCTGAGGATCTAAAAAAAATTTCCATCTTGCCAAGAGCTGGAGCTACAGTGTTTAGGCCAACCGAATGCTGCTTTGTTTGTTGAGCAAACAGGATAGAGTAATAAGAGAAGATAATTAACCATATTTATAAGGTCCAGAAATGGAAGTCTAATATTGTGTTCCCTGTGATTGTTTCCTTTAAATGACAAACATGGAACTATGACGGGAATTTGGAATGCGCTACTTAGTTTAGAAGGTTAACTAAGGAGGGAGGGGGGTATTATTATCCTAGGAGTTCAGCTTTTCAGAGAAAAACTGTTTTCTTCAGTGGCTGCAAATGCATAGAATCTACAATTTTTTTATTAGAAGGTATGTAATGAACAAGCTAGAAATAGAAATGTATGATTGTTATATTTGCACACAGACACACTTAGTCCTTAATTTGTATTTCATGGTATAACTCAGGGGTCGGCAATATTTTTGGGCAGAGTGCCGAAAACATCCGCAACCTTGACTTGTAAGGTGTTGGTAGCAGAAGGCAAGGGAGCCACAAGGGGCCTGATCCTTGTGGCAATGCAGCCCTAACCTCTTCCCCACCATCTGCCTCAAGGCCCACATGCCAAGCAAAATGCCTTCACGTGCCAGGTTCTGGCACCCATGCTAGGAGTTGCAAACTCCTGGTATAACTAATATTAAATCTTTAATGGAATTTAATGAGAATTAAGGTAAGACGTTTTAGTGATCTATTTAATCTTTTGTCTTTAACGTATATGAAGGGTAAATATTTAAATTACACAGATTTCTCTTTCTTAACAATAACCTTATAGGTTTGCATGTTCCTGCAAGCATGATCTATCTTATCCATACCTGTAAAACAATTTCCATATATTTCGCCTACCGGTACTTGTTGTTTAGGCTTGAAAGAATGAAAAATATGTGGTAAGCTTTCATGGATCACTTTACCTGCTACAGCAAGATCTCTTTTTGTGCTTGACTCTTTTCTTCTTAATTAAAAAAAACTTTCTTTCCTTGCTGTTGAGCTGAAAAGAGGCAAAAGGAGCCTTGACTATTTTGTGAGGAGGAAACATAATTTCTTAGTAATGTGGTCTAAATCATCACACTGATAGAAAGCATTATTGTCTCCAGGAAGACCAGGCCTGTGCTACTTGCCTTATTCTTGCCTGCTCTACTGCTGCTTGTGATAGAGAAGTATCTGCCTGGGCTACCCGAGCCTTTTTCCGGTGAGTTTGTCAGTTTGGGGACTGTCCTGGGTTTTCACAACAGCTGGGAAGGAATTATTTGAGTTCTTTTCTGTGCCTAAGTATTATCTTAAATTTATGTAAGCTGTTCAAGAAACTTGATAGCACATATAATTGGAACGCAACCGGTATCTGTTTACCTATGTCTTATACGCATAGGGAGTTATTTCAAAATAATTACTCCTGATCTGTTTTCTGTGTGCACAGCCTGTTTCCAAATTAGCTTAATTTTCTTCCGTAAATCCATATTCTGTCTTTAATTCTATTAATTTTCCTGTGTAGACTAGCCCCTACTTAGAAATGAGTGCTAAACATTTTTTCTCTTGATTTTTATGTTATCAACCTCTGCATGACACCCAAACATGCTGTTACCTAACGATATAGATCAAGAAATAAAACAATTTGGAACAGTTTTCTAATTCAGTTATTCTCAACCAGGATGTGATCCTTTCAGGGGTGCTACAGGGTGCCACAAAACGTTAGAGTTATGTGAGTGTGTAAACATGGTTCACAAGATAAACCAATAGATTTCCAATAGAAATCCATAGTGTCAAAACCATTCTGACCTGTTGTTGTTTTCCTGTGGTCATTGCAACAGAATAATAATTATGCCATATTTTTTTATATTAAAAAAATGAATGAAACCTAGGAACTGGCATTTTCCAGGGGGTTACTTGACTCTAAAAAAGTTGAGAACACAGCTAATTTTTGTCTGTAATAACTAATCTGTTTTTTATCTCATTAGTCACAAAATCAAATACAGAATTATTACCCCACACTGAAATGCAATCTCAAACACTTTTGCTGGAAATATGTCACTGTTTCAGTTCCAAGAAACAAAAAATGTATTTATTTCTGTTTTAGCCTACTTCTAATGAAGTAAGGCCTCAAAACTAAATGGTCTATGTATGACATGCGTAGAGATCAATTTTTGTCTACAAACTTTAGGTATGGCAGAGAAGCACAAATGCGATTTCCATCAGCTTTACCTCCTCCAAGCAACGTAGGACCTATCTTGGGCTCTCCGGTTTCTGGCAGTAAGTAGCATGCTGGTGATTTTTTTCCCCCCCTTACTGTTGATGCATTTTCACAACTCCATGCATCTTCACTTCTCTTCAGTCCTCAGTGCATAGTTTTCATTCATTGTAGTGCTTCCAGAAAATTAGAATTGGTCTCCTCCCTCACCTTTGCGCTTGCTGCTAATTAGGGTAGAGTGTGTTAAATATTGTTCATATCTGTTTATGAAAGTTTTAATGTAACCATCTATAATACTTTCATCCAAAAGGACCCTAATTTTTACCCATCCTAGCCATGTTCATGCTGTGCTCAGGGGGTCCTAATAATTGTGTCAGGGCTTACTGTGTAGTTTTGCTAAGAGGTTAAACAATGGATTTATATGGGATGATTTTAGTAGGGATGATCCTGCCTCGGGCAGGTGGTTGGACTAGATGACACCTTGAGGTTCCTCCCAGCCCTAATTTTCTATGATTCTGTGAATTACAGTGATTTAACAAGGAGCTATGATTATATTGCTAAACTAGACTTGACTTTTCTTATAGTTCTCTAAGGCAGTGGTTCTCAACCTTTTTTGTACCAGGACCCATTTGTAAACCTCAGTGGCCAGTCCTGACCCAGTAAATAGTTTAAGTAAAAAATGGCCCCCTGGCCCTGCTGGTGCCCCTCATTCCCAATCCACAGCCCCGTGCCGGCGTTGGCCCAGTCAGACTGCAGCCCCATGCCTATTGTGGGTGCACAAATTTAAAGGGACACATGCCCCCACCCCCCATAGACTTACCTGCAGGGAGCTGCGGGGCTGTGCTCCACCCTGCCTGACTGCCATGCACATGCACATGGCACCCCCTGCCTGATCACCCTCCTCCCACTCCCCCCAGCCCCAAGCAGCCCCTTGCAGGCTGAAACTCTGCCAGAATGGTCTTGTGATTGAAGCAGTTAAATGTCACACTGGAGATTCAGTTTCTGTTTCTTGCTCGGCCTTGATACTGCAATTGTTTTCCTGGGTAAATGTTTTCATCCTTTTCTGGGTACTCAATTTTAGGTGCTTTGGGTCCTGAGTCACAGAAATGCTGAACATTTGTAACTTCAACTGAAGACAATGAAAGTTCTGCTCTGAACGTAGCAAATGCCATGTAATACAATGTACTCTGAAAATTCAGGCTCTGGCCATCTTAAATTGGGTGCTCACAAATGCATGTTATTCTTGAGGTGTTGGCTTTCATGTTCACCTCATTTCTCATGTATAAAATGGGAGTGAAATCTGCTGTCTTCAGAGAGGTATTGTTGAAGGTAACATCTTTATTTTTTTTGTAAAGATACAGGTTACTACAGTGAACACACTGTGGGAGTGCACATTAGGGGCAGAATTAGAAGAACACAGGTGCTAGCAATCGCATAGAAAAGCTTACAAGGTCATTAATTCTGTATTAATTATGTAGGATGGTATGCTATAAGTAAGGTATGCAGTCTACCAAGAAAAGACAAGAATACAAAAATGCTTAGTTTCATAGTAGAAAAGTTTCTTAGTTTTCATAGTTTCTTAGTTCATAGTTGCTAGGGTCGGAAGGGACCTGAGCATATCGTCAAGTCTGACCCCCTGCCATGGGCAGGAAAGAATGCTGGGGTCAAATGACCCCAGCAAGGTGTCTATCTAGCCTCCTTTTGAAGACCCCCAGGGTAGGAGTGAGCACCACTTCCCTTGGAAGTTGGTTCCAGCTCCTAGCCGCCCTGACTGTGAAGTAGTGCCTCCTGATATGTAGCCTGAATTCACTCTGTCAACTTACGACTGTTATTCCTTGTTACTCCCAGTAGTGCTCGGGGGAACAGGGACTCTCCCATTGCCCGCTGGTCTCCCTTGAACAGTTTATAGACGGCCACCAGATCCCATCTCAGCCTTCTCTTGTGGAAGCTGAACAGGTTCAGGTCTCGTAGCTAACCATTCAGAGCGCATCATCTACCCCTTGCCCTGAATGAGTTGAGTCCTGTAGAAATAAAAGTATGTAATTAAAAACCATGTCATAATGCATTCACAGAAGGAAGCCTAGTTACGGTTACATAGGTAATCTTGAATTCTGGTGTTCCCCAAGTTGAATGTTTGAACTGGTAACGTTTAATATTTTCCTAACACATTTTTGAAAGTATAATAAATTCATATATTGTTCATTTGTTGTTTCTTTCCTAGGTTCCCCTATACCTGCCGATAGTCTATATCCAAGCTTTCTGTCAACACCAGCACAAGGTAGGTTTTTTTTAATTTTATTTTACTAGACTAGATCTTTTGGTATTTTCTCGACTTGATTTTTTTTGTTTATATCAAAAGTAGTTGAAGTCATGTGTGTGTCTTTATCCCAGGTTTGCAGCCTCCCAGTATGTCAACCCCTATGTTTGCTTCAGGGAATTCCATGTCTCAGGTTGGTGCATCTATTAGTGGTATGATGGGCCCAGAAATAGTGTTTTCTGGAAAACACAATGGCATCTGCATATACTTCGCTCGCATTATAGGGTGAGTTATTTGTGAAAGATATATTCTTTCATTTGATTACTTTCATAGTCATTACATCCATAACATGATTAATATTTGCTTTCTGATACTGGATATGTTCTAGTTAAATCACACATATTATGTGACTGATATAAGGTAAATTCCAGCATACTGGTGTAATCAGTCAGGTTTCTTATTAACCATTACAATGTGAGGCCAATCTATTGGCCTCCTTTCCTCTTCCACACTTATAGCTGTATCTTCTGTGTATGCCATCACATGAATTAGAGGGAGCAGCTAGGGTGTTGGGTTTTTCTTAATCATGCTTTCTCCCTTAAGTCCTCCATCTGTTTCCTTTGCTCCTTATATAATATCCCACCATGTTCCCTTCACAGCTCTGCTAATACATTCTATGAATAGGCAGGGCAAAAAACAATTTAGGTCTTAATTCAGCAATCGGCTGTCTGTAGAGACAACCTTACAAATGCTTTTCCTAGATTCTAACCCTGTAAGAAGCTGCATTTCCTTTACTTGAATCAGGTTCTTAGGAAACAAGTATCCCAAGCACTTCAGAGGATGATTGAATCACTAGCTGCTAGGATCCTTGGATAAAACAACATCCTTGGAGAAAATATTTTAAAATACCACGTTCGATACTAGTTTGCAGGGCGGGATCCCCTGGGGTGTCAGTGATGCCCCTGGTGGCTCCGTGACCATGCAAGCTTCGCCCTGGGGGTGACTGGCATCTTAGAACCAGAAAAGAAACAAATCATACACTAAAAGTCAAACACCTACTATAACATATTTTGATTTTATTATGAAATGTTTTTGTCATGATTAGTGTTTTCATAGTGTATATAGAGGTGATTGCATAATGACTAAGAATTTATTTTTGAGTTTTCTTTATTGGGGGGTGTATGGTGGGTGTGTGGGAGTGGGTGGGTGCATGTGTAGTGGGGTTTGTGGGTGGGTATATGGTGTGTGGAGGGTTTGTGAGGGGGTGTGGCAGTGAGGGGGGCATAGGGTATGTTGGGGGGTTGTTTATGTCTGGGGGGTTGTGTTATATCAGCAGGTGGGGGGCACTCAGGGCACTGGTGCCCGGTGGGGCATGGCTCTGGGCAAAGTTGCAAATCACAGTGAGGGGCGCAGCCTCCGCTGGGCGGTCTGTATCGCCAGCATTCACTGCCACTCACGCAGCCTGCACTTGCCAGGTAGAGGAGGGAAGCCCTGCATGCTGAAGCCAGCTGCCTTCCCTGCCAGGGCTGCGCTGCAGGGGAGGGAAGTCTCTGGCACCTTCACCTGGGGTGAGGAAGTCAGCTGGCTGTAGCTCCTGAGGCTTCTCTTTGGTGCTGCACAGCCCTGATGGGGAAAGCAGCCAGCTCCAACACGTGGGGCTTCCCTCCCATGCTGCGTGAGTGTGGTGGCTACATGTGAGTGGCAGGGAGCACAGAGGCTGTGCACCATTGGGAGAGAGTGGGGGGTCCCCATGCCCCTCCCTCACCTTCCCTCACCCCCACACACTGCCCACCCTGGCTCCACACTGCTGCCAGCCCCAGCTCCGTGCTCCCACCCAACTGCAGCTCCTCTCCCACTACTTCCCTACCTACTGCCTAGAGCCAGCAGGAGACTAGGGAAGCAGAGCAGGTCCCTGGGGGCTGCAGCAGCAGCAGCCCCACGCATAAGGTGCACAGTAACCAGGGCAAGCACTTCTCCTCATGAGTGTGGGAGTGAGGCACAATAGGGTATGTTTGTGGCTGTTTGTACATGTGGCTGCCTCACTCCCACCTTCATAGGCAAAAGGGCTGGGCAGGGCACAATTTGTTGGTGGGTGCCATGGGCCAGGTGAATGTGCTTAGTGGACCAAATCTGGCCCGCAGGCAATATTTTGCCCACCCCTGTGCTAGCACATTTGAGACCATCTATTAGAGAATATCATTACAGAATATCTGATTAGAACAGAAATAAATGGAAACTGAACTTTAATTGTCTATATGTACTTATGACACGGACAGTGGTTGCATTCTTGGGTTGGATTGAGGAAGTGAGGAGGGTCTTTATTCATAAACTCTGGCAGAATGCATTAAGAAACAGTTTAGAAAAACATTTTTTCTAAAGATACTTTTTTATTTGCCTTTTAACACAATGTTGTCTTGTTTCAGAAATATTTGGGATGGCAGTATAGTTGTGGAGAGAGTTTTCAAAAGTGGCAATCGAGAAGTTGTTGCGGTAAGTGGCTGTGGTGTTTTAAATCCTTTTTTAAAAATATTTTATTTTTCCTGAGCACTTTAACATGGTCACAGTAAACTAATAGGAAAAAAAACTGGATTCTGTTACTAATGATATGTTAAAAGGAATAGTAAATGGCTCTTGATTGTATTAAGTGTACCTAGCAGACTGGGAATGGGATGTAAAACCTTTTACCTCTAAATTAATCATTTGATTTTTACCTCAATTGGTAGCGGCAGTTATCCAATATTTTATTCAATCTATGTAAATCTCAGAGGGAAAGAAATTGGCTTTAGTCTCCTAGTGCATGTATTTGAAAAGAAACCCCGCACTGTAATTTAATGCCTCCTATTTCTCCTCTTGACAGCTGGACAGGAGAATGGTAAATGCTTCCTTGCCATTTGTCTTTTTTTTTTAACTCCTCTACTGGCCCCTCCAGCTTTAACTATAAACAAATTGGCACCTTTTCAATTTTTAGTAGCCTTTTCACCAGACTCCTGATGTAGGGCATGGGCTCCACACTGACTCATTTCATTGGCTTGCACTTGCTGTTAATCATAATAAAAATATTTTTTCTGAGTGCTGGATTGTACCGACTCCTGGTCAGTACAGAAAAGTTGAGAACCACTGCTTCAGATGCACTAAGTCCCCTCACAATCTAATTGAATATCCTCATTATGCTGACCTACTGATGATATTATAATATCATTTATTTTTCAGTACGTGTTTCATGCATGCCTTTCAGCTCAGAATTGCAACGGTTTCAAAAAGATGACCTGTAAGAAGCCCCTTTTTTCTTCTTTTGCAGGTTGAAAGCAGTGTTCCATCCCATGTACTAGAAACTGTGCTCCAAGAACTAAAGGGTTTGCAGGAATTTCTGGATAGAAATTCACAGTTTGCAACAGTTGGAGCCCTTGGAAACCCAAGGTAGTATTATTGAATATGCTTAATTTACAAAGGGCACATAAAACCCTTGGGGAGGGGTTGTTTGTTTGCTTGTTTTTTTGCTACTCCTAGATAATATTGTACAACAATGTACAACAGTATTGTACAACGTTGTACAACAATGGATGCATAGGCACATTCAAATAATCTGGGAGCATTCTCCCAAGTTTTTTCTCCTGGTAAATAAACTTGACCAAAACTGGGTGTACAGATATTTAAATACTGAAGCCCTGAAGAGTGGAGAGCTTGCAGTGCTGACACTGTGTGACCATGGGGTGCCTTGTTGCACACATCTCAGCATGCTCTGCAGTCTCCCTTAGTTTGCTTGGCAACAAATAGCAGCAGTACAAAGAGTAGCCCTGGTTGGCTTGGGCCAGAATACCCATGATTAGCCTGTGTTTCTCTGCAGCACAATGCAGGGATTGTAAGAGGGCGTTTTCTGCTCCCTGCTGAAGCAGCAGAGTCCAGCAAGCAACATAATCTCTCTTCTCTGGAGGACTTTGGCATGTACAGATCTTTGCTCTCCCAGGAGAGTTCTCCTTTTAACCCTTGTCATTCCTATTATTTTGCTCTTGAAGCAAGCATTTTTACTCTGGGAGAAAAAGCCTGAACATCTGCACACTTGTGGTTTCTCCTGGGAGAGCAGCAACGTCTCCAGGAGTAACTGAATGTCTATACGAGGCCAATGTGGGTGCCGGGGGAAAAGAAGTATATCTCCTTCCCTTCAATTAAATGAACCTACTCAAACTCAAAAGCCTGCTTTCTAGGTTCTTTCTAAATAAATATTCAGAGTTTGTATTCTTCAATTACAGTTTTAGCACGCCTGCTAACTTGCAACAGAGGTTACTGGGGTTCATGCGTCCTGATGGTGGAAGTTCTCAGCAAGTTCAGCAAGAGCTCCAAAGGAAGTTCCATGGTGAGAAGCTCTAAGTAATTAGCCTTAGGCTGTGCATGCAGGTACTAGTCTCATAGCTCTTCTGTTGAAAGCAAGAATAAAATAAAAGCTCTTTATATAGAATAGGCAGCTACAAGCAAACAAGAGCAAAGTATTGCCCAAAGGATACTCTAGGTGTGGTATCAATTGCTCATCTCTTGCTTCTCCTTCTACACAAAAATACAGTATCTTGTCAGCCGCAGCGTTTCTGGATTTGCTTTTATGGAGAGAAGCTTTTTCTGTGCAGTTGTCTTGGGGATGAAGCATGTGCCCAGAATGTAAACCCAAGCTGATTAAATGCAGCCAACGCTGAGTGTGACTATAAAGTACATGATCTATATGGAGCAAACAAGCTGATGGGAACATATCACAAAGATAAGTTGGTCCAACCTATCTAAATAAAACATCTGGTAATGTCCATTAGGTGCAGCTGCCTTCAGCAATGACTCCTTTTCAAGTCATGGTGAGCCACCATATTGCATACATTTCAACTTCCTCTTCACTCCCACAGCTGAGCTGCATACTTCTTTCCCATTTCCAGTGAGCCCTGTTTCTTTATCAGCCTTAAATGTCTGGCAAACATCACTGAATGGGGCCCCAAACAGCTTGCCCAGAATTCCTCTATTGGCCCCTCTCTCAGCCTGGCGCACATGATTATTGCACAGATCCTTGTGGTGCATGGGTCTTGATATAGCACTATTAGTTTGATTTTAGGCATTGAAGGATGCTGCCAGTTAATCTGATTATCAATTGACAGAATTTTTAGTTTAATACTTTTCTTATTAACTCATAAGCAGTCTTTAAAATAACAATAAAAAGTACATACCATTTTGGACTGATAGATTTTGAAGCTGGCATGTATTTTTATGTAAAATCATTGTGCATCTCTAGAACTAACTTTTTCAGAGGTCTTGTGCTTTATAGTTTAAGTTCAACGTTGACAGAGAAGTATTTGTTTTGGGAAGTGTTAGGAAAAGAAACACAAACAACAATGGAAGAAAGAAAAACATGATTTAAAAATAGCATAACTCAAGGGCGGGTGTAGTAGTACCTCATAGTAAACTACACACAATCTGTTCAACTTTACAGCAGAGGCACAATTAACTGAAAAGACTTCACTTCAAGGGATCCAGCAGCTTGTTCGCAAAACCTGCCAAGCTTTGGCTTTGTGGAAACTTCTCTGTGAGCATCAGTTCAATGTTGTTGTAGGTGAACTTCAGAAGGTATGGGATGAACTATCATTTTATATTTTTTTTTATTTGAGTGTATTTAACAAGTCAGAACTTAATTTACCATTTCTATATATTAAAAGTAGTATTAGTTTAATTCTTTTAAATATACTTCACATTCTATGTAGAATGTGCAGAGATTTTCAGAAATTTGTTTTCTTGGTATTGCAAGTACTCAAAATAAGATTTAATGCAAAGTGATGCTGTCACAACTCAAGGTAATTGGCATATTCAAGATATTGTTGACTGATATTAGACTCATTTAATTCTGCTCAGCATTTAATATTCACTTTGGTTCTTGTAAAATAAGAACAAAGTATTTACAAAACAAACTCTGGGAAATGTATAGTAAAAATTGTGGTGTACAAATGAGCCTGCATAGAAAATTTAGGTGACTAGGTTTTTCTAGTAGTAAAAAATACCAAGCAGATAACCTTCAAAGCAGCTTTATGAAGGAACAAGAAAAAACACAAAGGGCGTGTCTATACAGGTTTTTGAATATAGGAAAAGTCCTGGTCAGAAATGTTAGAATTTTGGTAATTTACTGGAAAGTTCTTTTCCTACAGGAATTGCAAGAACATTTGAAGATTACTGCTTTCAAAGACTTGGTAATTAGAGACAAAGAGTTAACTGGAGCACTCATAGCCTCTCTCATCAACTGTTACATCAGAGATAATGCTGCTGTGGATGGCATCAGTACACATTTACAAGACATCTGTCCTCTTCTGTACAGCACTGATGATGCAGTCTGTTCCAAGGTATAATGTACTTTTTAATCCAAAATATACCCCTACAGATTAACCCAGTCAGCTAGCAAGACCAGGTAAAAAAAGGTCTTTCATTTGCTCAGTATAGGTAGTCTTCCTAAAATATCCCTTTTAACCTTTTTTTAAAAACTTTAAAACCTTTTTATAAAGCCTGAGATAATAGATCCTGTCTTATTTATGCTTTGAAATTTGTAAGCTAACTAAAAATGAGTTACTGCAAACATAATACCCATGATAGGTGTCCTTATCATGACCTAATGGAATGACATCAGTGTTCGATTATTTCTCTTCAGGCAAATGAACTCCTTCAGCGGTCCCGACAGGTTCAGAGCAAACTGGAAAAAGAGAAAATGCTCAGAGAATCACTGAAGGAGTACCAAAAGATCAGTAATCAAGTGGACCTTGCTAATGTCTGTGCACAGTATAGGCAAGGTGAGAACAAAACATCAATCATCACTTGATCTTGCCAAATGGTGTTTTAAAATAGCCATACGGAGTTGTAAGTGGTGTTTCATGCTGTTTCTGGGTCATTGTATCAGGCTGAGGAAAATAATCCATTGTTTTAGATATGCACGCAGCTCCTATAATATTCAAATTTTATTTAAATTTCCATTTCACAAAAATACAGAACTTCAAGCATGTGAATAATTCCACTAATTAAGCATGTTGTTTAAGTCTTTGCAGGATTGGGGGTGTAGGAAGCAAAGGGGTAGCTCTTGACAGCTAAAATGGGAAGCATGAACTATTTAATACAGTATTGTGCAGTAGTTTGCAATAGATTTAGTACTAATGTAACCGGACTCTTTGTTCTTCCTTATTTCAAGTGCGTTTCTATGAGGGTGTGGTGGAACTCTCCCTTACTGCTGCTGAGAAGAAGGATCCTCAAGGTCTTGGGCTCCATTTCTACAAAAATGGAGAACCAGAGGAGGACATAGTTGGACTTCAAGCTTTCCAGGAGAGGTGAGTTTTCAGGATACAAGAGCAGCTTTCAGGGTATTTTACTCATAAGCAGGGATCTGGGTTTCCCATTTCCCATGGGAAAACGGCGAAAACCACAGACTCCCTGTTTTTATTGGAGAAACCACGGATTCCCCGCCCTGTTTTTAGCAGAGAAATCTGGGGATTCTCTGCTTTTGAAGAGCTCTTGCAGGCTGACACAGCTCCAGCTTGCAAGAACTGATTGCAGAAATGGCGGGAATCCCCCAGCCCTCCCTGAGGGTGGGGGGAGAGGGCAAAGGGCGGGGCCTGAGACTCTGAGTCAACCATGGCTGGGCTCAGGCTCACGTTTCGCCCCTGGAGCTTAGAGGTGAGAGGGACTTAGGCGTTGTAGGGCAGGGCTGGCGGGGAGGTGGTTGGGGGCTGAGGGAGTGGGGGACATGCCAGATGCTGCCAGCCCCAGGCAGCACACTGCAGCGCCTCCCTGCACCCCCACCTTAGCCTGCTCCCAGGAGCAGGGCCAGGGGATGAGAGCAGGGGTGCCTCTCTGAGAGCTGCACATGCACTGGCTGGCTGGGGGGTTCACACACAGTGGCTGCCACTGCACTGCCACATCCTGTGCTGCCTTCCCGTGACCGGCCACAGAGCTTTGTGGCCAAGCAGCATGGCACCAGTGCCACGGTGGCGGCTGCTGCATATGGGCCA